CCAGTATCGCGAAACACCAAGCCTTCGTGAACTTGCCAAACTACTTGTCTCTCCGACAAGGCCGCCGAAGCCCAGGGTTCTGTCTGGGCTTTTGACCGGAATCGGTCACAAGGACTGGCTAAGAAACGTTTTCGATCAAGAACCCCAGCCGTTAAGCTCCCGGGCGTCATACGGATTACCCTCCGGGGATGGTATGTGCGTAAGTTTTCCTTGCCGCCGACGCCAGCAGTGCATGCTGACTGAGAGAGAGAGTCTTGTCTTTGGAAAAGACTTCTTTGCAGTCTTTGCACTTTCAAGAGGGGACTCGGCGTCAAAGGCACCAAGCCGCCTATTTGTTACCATCAGTGTCGCCTACAATAAGTGGCTTTCACACTATTTGAATACCGACACTGCAGTTGCGTCGGATACGAGACCTCCGACAACTGGGCGCTGTCCGTTACCCCGGCCTAAGCTATCAAAATGCGGAAAGGTGACGAGTGATGCCCAGCTTCTAAGGCAGTCCGCCCTCAGGGCCCTCCACAGCTCGCATGTTTGCGATTCAGAATCGGGGTTTGTACCCAATCACTTCGGTCTGAGCGCTGGGCAATTGTGTTTGGAAACCCCGCATTCCCCGTTTTAGCCACACCGGCAGCTCCAAACTTGTTCCAAGGCGGCCGGGAGAAGTGCCCTGAGATGGCTTGGAAGGCATGCACGCGCGGAGGTACCTTGAAAAGTTCGTGTGTTTTCGGAAGAGGAGCAACTGGGGATCATCTGGGGCAAAAAAATGGAGGTCTTCACCCCACACTGAAACGTGGGCTGTGAATATAAGAGACAAAGCCCACGTCCCTGGGTTTCTTTCTTCTCCAGATCATCCAGCTCGGTCTCTGGGGATCTAACAGTACTTTGTTCATCTCTTTGTCTCCCACATTACTTCCACGTCTGTATAACTGTCGAACAGTGATTTGACTGGAATATTGATACAAAATCATCACCATGTTGGACACCAAGAAGGACCACGCCGTCATGATGGAGCGGGCTCAAACTCATGATGATGAGCCCATAAAGCCCATTCCTCAAGTCAGCAAGATCGATTATTCAGGAGCTCACGAGAAGACGGATCCGCGAGAAATTGCGCTCGTCAGGAAGCTTGACAAATGGATTATGCCCATGCTGTGGTCCATGTACTGGCTCAACTACCTGGTATGTTCTCCCAGCCACCTCATCTTGAAAATAACAGAATCACTAACACAGCAACAGGATCGTAATGCTATTGCACTGGCACGTCTCGATGACTTAGAGGAGGACCTCAACCTCAGCAGCGCGCAGTATCAAACGTGCGTGAGCATCCTCTTTGTCGGATACCTGCTTGGTCAGATTCCCAGCAACATGCTGCTCAACCGAGTTCGCCCGTCACGATACATGGGAGTTTGTATGGCTCTGTGGGCCGTCGTCTCTGCCCTTACTGCGCTGTCCAAGGACTTTACCGGTCTCCTCCTCACTCGCTTCTTCCTAGGTATCACAGAATCCCCGTACTACCCCGGTGCTGTCTATCTGCTCTCCTCGTTCTACACCCGTAAGGAGGTCGCAACCCGTATTGCCATCCTGTACACTGGTAACATTCTCGCCACCGCCTTCGCTGGCCTGATTGCCGCAGGTATTTTCCATGGCCTCAGCGATGTTGGAGGAATCAGTGGCTGGAAGTGGCTGTTTATCCTTCAGGGAGCCGTCACTTTTGTCATTGCGATTGCCGGTTACTTTTTGCTTCCCGATTTCCCTCACAACACCTGGTGGTTGACTCAAGAAGAGCGCGATCTCGCCACTAACCGCATGGCCCTCGACACTGTTGGAAACCAGGGCGAGACATCTGTGTGGGCTGGTTTCCGCCAGGCTGGAAAGGACCCCATGGTCTGGATCTTTGCCGGTATGGCACATATGCATTTGGCTGCTAATGGTACGCTAAACATCACTTTTGAATACCTGATCAGGACTATTTGCTAACTTTGACAATAGGTTTCAAGAACTTCTTCCCCACCGTTGTCAAGACCCTCGGCTTCAACCAGACCATCACCCTTGTCCTGACCTGCCCTCCCTACCTCATCGCCGGCGCCGTTACAATCGCCGTGTCGTGGTCTTCGGGCAAGTTCAACGAGCGAACCTGGCACATCACCATCTCCAAAGCAGTCGCCACTTTCGGTTTCGGACTCGCCTGCGCTGAAATCGGTGTTGCAGGTCGCTACGTCGCTATGGTCATCTTCACCATCGGTACCTACGGCGTCAACTCGCTCATTCTCGGTTGGTGCGGATCCACCTGTGGTCAGACGCCCGAGAAGAAGGCCGTCGCAATCGGTATCGTGACGACTGTCATGAACGCTTCGTTTATCTGGTACGCTTCCTTTCCCCCCCTCTTTCAGGCAAAAATTTGCAGAAACAAAAAAGACAGCCAAGCTAACATGACCAACACAGGACCCCTTACCTCTGGCCCAAGTCCGACGAGCCCAGATACATCATTGCACTCAGCTCTTCCGCTGCCTTCTCCGTCATGACTGCCGTCCTCGCCTGGGTCGCCAAGATCCTGTTTCTCCGCAAGAACAAGCAGATTCGCGAGGAGGACAGCGATGCTCAGAACTTTTATGTCTACTAAAACACAAAGGAGAAATGGGATATTTGAAGTACCTGAATTGGCTACAGTGCACAGAAATATTAGACTTCATTGGCACGATTGCTAGAGTATCTTTTATGGACTGCCTAGATGAGATAATGAGGAATGAATACTATTGTTTATTGTTTTTTTTGGATGTATTGGTTCATAGTGTTTCGAGTGGAGTCCAGACGTGCCCTGAACTTCTTTCACTCGAGAGGATATGGGTGTGAAGACGATACATATTATCACCAGAACTACAATATAGACTACTCCAAACATCACATATCAATGCAATCAATTAAAAAATGATTCCACACACACACACATACACACACACACAATTTCCCAACAAACGCATGTGTCGTCCGTCCAACATCAACGAGAGGAAGAAGAAGAAGAAGTATGACATAACCCCCCACTAATCCCAATTCGCCAATACACACATAGGTGCATGCATAGAAGAGGCGAACACCCGTTTGTCTTGGCAACAAAAAAAACGCGGCTATGTACGTAACGTGACGCAGCCGCACCCCCCCCCCCCCAAAAATCATCATTAGCGAGTCATTCTAGGCAACCACGTTATTGCAACTATTTTTTCTTTCCCAAACGAGGAAGGGGGCTAGACGCGGGGAAAATGTGTCATACATAATTGGCGAGGGTTAGCGAATCGGATGTTGAGGCTGAAAAAAAGGGGAGGCGGGAAGAGGACGAGTGAGAGAGAGGGATATAAGAGTTGACTCCCTTGGGATATTAAATACCTCTCTTTTTTCCTGTTTTAGATTTTTTTTTACAAATCATCGAATTTGAATGCGATGTGCAATACTGTTTCCATTTGCTTATATGGAGAAGGGATGGATTAGACCGACTTGATGAGGTGGTCAGTCGTACAGAAAAAATTATGGATAAGAGGGGGAGGGGGGGTCTCTCCAGGCAGCAACTTGAAGCCAGAAATACGAGAGACGAAACGAGAAGAGATATCCTGCAGGAACCCTAAACGACTGAAAAAAAAACGCCAGAATAACACCGAGGCTATGCTTTTTGTGTGTGTCCTTGGTGTGCCAGTCTGTGGACAATAGGAACGGGAAAGATGTGCGCGCGCCGAAATCGCGAGAGAAAAGAGCAGGAGCAAAGAACTGAAGAACAAAGACGGCATGAAGAAGAGAGGGGGGTAAACGTCATGACTGTCTCGTCATCCTGACATGCTGCGTCCGGTGCGGTCGCCCTCCTCTTTCCCGCCTTGCACCGCCCATCTCGACAAAATTGCCCGGCGGACGAGTCAAGTTGTGATTACCCGCCTTAAGTTCCTTCAGATCCTCCGCATCAATCAGTCGTCGCTGCCATAGATACTCGAAGAGTGCAAAATCCGGTCGACTCGTCCGCAGCGTCTGCCCATACATGACATGAGCAGAAGCAACATGATGCATGCGTGCAGCCCAAGCGGCATGGCCTCCACCCTCGCATGCGTGGGCCGTCCAGTCACAAAGTGGACACTGCACTTTCAAAGGGGGTTCCTCGCCGCGGAAATGTGATAGGCAGTGTCGTTCCCACTCTTCCTGGTTGCGCAAGATATACTCGCAGTCAAGGAACCAAAACGCACATTCGAACACGGGCGCGCGGGTAATGCCCTGTGGCATTTCCAGGACGCCCTCATGTCCCTCTTCGAGCAGCGGGTACCCAGCCAGGTGGCCGGCGAGGCCCGTACAAACGCTCGTCTCGGTAGGGGTGGCTTCTGTGCAGCACGAGTGCAGGGACGGGGGACTATGAGTCGAGGCATTGGACTGGTGGATCAGAGCCGGCGCCATGGACTCGACGCTCTTGATGGACCCGTGTTCTCGCACCAGGCTGTCAACCGCCGCCGGGTCCTGGATGCCGTGCAGGTATTGCGAGCCGATGTGGACCAGGCGGGCAGAGAGATCGGGTTGCTGCACCCAGTCGTTCAGCGTGGGCGTTACATCGCGGTCGCGCTGGCGGAGGGCGGCCAAAAACATTGTTTGGGGGTGCGACGACTTGCGGGGTTGGCTGTGGCGCAGGCGTCAGCCTCAGGCAAAGACGGGTCTTGATTGGGCGGGCAGAGGGGCAAAGGGCATCTTTCTGGCCTTGCGAACGAGTGTGGGCAAGGCAGTGCAGGCGAATCAGGACTCACTGGATCTATACGGGGTCTGAGAGGCGTACGCCCAGCATCAACGTCGAGGGAAAGATGGGAATGTGAGGAGGGAAGGGTAGGGTAGGGCTTAGCGTGGGTGTGTTTGTGGGGGATAGTCTGTTCCGGTCTGGGTCGAGGAGAGCCTATGGCGACGGATGTCGTGGCCGGCGGGTAGGGAGAGTCGGGGGAGTCTTTCTATGTTCAAGATCTCGACGGGTCGATCTCAAAGTAGATCAGATGGTTTCTACGAGATGCGGTTCTGCGGGGGTGATTGGCATCTTTGTCGCTCCTCGGATCTTCACGCCCACCGACCGCTTGCATACTACCAAGTCGCCCATGGCGAGTAATAGTCATTAGCACATCCACCACGACGGCGTCACACCTCGAGTAACGGCTCGCCTCGCGCTCAGCGATAGTGAATTGATTGGGCCGGCAGCTTGCAGATGACGGCTGTCTGCAGAAGTGGGGTGACATCTCTGAACACCCGAACACCCTTTCCCCACTACATGCCCGACCGCTCCCGTGCCACTACGAATTGACCTCTTGTATGGCGCTTTGTCGGTGAACATGATGGGCTGCTCCGAATGAAGAGTCATCGGAGTTGGCTTGGCTTACGCAGAGATACTGCACGTTGGTATGTCTGCACTGTGGTCATGTGTTTGGGGGAGATTAACGACTCTGTTGGCCCAATTACAAGAGTGATGTACAGATGTATATCTGTAGTTGCGGCACAGCAGATCAGAGCGGCTTACTGAAGCATGGTCAGTAGACCAGCCAGGGCAAGAGTGTATGCTGTCACCACACACCATCACCATACATACATACTATGTACTTGTATATTTACCATTTTCATCTGCATCTTCACTGTGCGTCCACCCGGGATTGATCGACCACCAACCATGTACATATTGTATGTAATTTAATAACCAGCAACACAAATGGAGTAATTCGCTCGTCAAACTAGGGACAAACTTTCGGCCCATGCCGGTAATACTAAGCCCGCGATGACACATACCTGGCATCGTACTTCCATCCAACACGATGGCAACTCCATATATCGCCCTGGGTATTGGGAGAATGCCAGCTGTACGCAGTGCTGCGGTTCCAGCGAATGCGCCCATGACTGGCCCTTGGCATTCTGATGTCGCGTTTCATACGCGAACGATCCCTGCTGCTTCAAGCGGCCTGCGACACAACTTCAGCACAAAACCACTGCCGTGCGCATGTGCACCATTCCCCCCCTCCCATTTCCGTGGCTCGCAACCTCTCTTGGCCATGTTCTGGTTTCATTCTGCAGCTCACATTCAACCTCTTCTACGTGAACCGATCTGGGACTCCCGACACCCATAATACCTACCTACAGTACCAGTCGCCCAACATCTTGGCTCCTCAACGCTACCGTCTCAGATCCTCGTGTCACAGCACTCTGCCGTCGCGGCACGTCCTAGGACCGCGATAAAACTGGAGACCAACCCTGCATAGCAGCCGTAGCCACCCCTTCTCACGCATGAGCATTTTCCCACGAACTGTCATAGTGTCCGCGGTACCCTGGGTTCGCCTACTTCACCCTTAGGCCGAGCTCCCGCTTTTACGAACGACGCTGTCGCTGCTGTCGTAATACTCGCTCGCTCTAGAAGCCAAAGATCGGCAAAACTTCCATGCTCATACAACGCCATAACATCCTACGGAAATACCGATCGACCGCATCGCTGCCCACGCCTTGGGCGACATGCTCACACTCGCCTCGCTCTACAGTCTCCATCCCGTACTCCTCAGCCTCATCATCACACGCGCCTACGCATCCCCAGATGGAGTTATTGGCGACCAGAAGACGCGTGTCCGCCCGACCTTCGCGACCGCCTTGACAGGCGGCGAGGGCTGTGACCTGTCCGAGATTGACGATATCCGCGATGGCTTCTCCGAGATGGTAGCCCTGTTTGCCGCTGCTACGCCCTTTGACCCCACCTCACAGCCAGGACGAGAGTTTTTCGGTCCCTCGATAGCTGGAAACTACACCGACATGATTGCCAAAAATCTGCAGCGAGCAGCAAACTACGGAGTACTCGACGGAGAGGACGGCGCCATCAATGCTGACATCCACATACGATGCGACGACCCCATGAACCTTTGCGACAGAGGCAACAGACGCGAAGGTAGCCACGCCGCCTACAATATCGGCAATGAACCGCACGTTGTCTTCTGCTCCGACTACTTTAAGATGGATCCCCTCGAGGCGCGAATAAACAGAAAGGCCGAGGACCAAATCCAAAAGGACCGCCTGATGGAATACTACAACCGCGCTTCTTTGTGGGCACGCATGGTGATGCATTTCTCCGACATCGGCACAGCAGTCGTCCAACGGCCCACTCCCGCACCTCCAAACTCGACCACCGAATGGATTGTAACTTCTTCTGAAGGTTCAATGAATACGTCTGTGCTTGCTGGTGTGCTCAACGAACAAGGCGATGGCCCAACAGACCGTCAAACCCTAAAGTACGCATACGGCGCCACACGTGCAAAGCTGCTCGCCACTCTGTCCACCCAGATGCCGTACGACGCTGCGAACAATGCCGAAAACTATGCCCTCTACGCCCTGTCGCAATACATTATCAAAGACAAAACTTTTTACCCTGCAGTCCCCATCATGGATTTTCCAAACGAAGCAAGCGTGCTTACCAATGACAACCTCCAGGATGGCGAAAGGTGCAAATATGCCTTTTTCGACATGTCCGACGTCGTGTGAGTTTCTCCTTTCCCCTTATTTTCTTTTCCGTCCTAGCGTGGTGCAGACGTGTGCATAAAAGCTAATGTTACAAAACAGTGCAAGACCGTCAAATATGTTATTAGAAGGTGCGCCGCTACCCTCTGCAGGCTCATCTTCTCATGCCTTGTCTTCGGCCATGATAGGCATAACTGGCGCTGCCTTGGCCTACGCCTTCATGGCCGCGTCGATTGGATGAAGTGGATCAAAGTTGCGAGAAACGCCAAGCATTTCTGCGTTTTGTTGGAATTTTTTCCCAAAGAAGAAGAGCAAAAACAAATCTCTTGTTAGGAGAGGTGAATGGCATGGGAGCCATGTGCGCTTTCAAATCCCCTGCTAAACCTTACGTGTGTCTGGCAACACTGATTGCCTGATGTGAACCCATGATGGACAGACATCGTATGATGCCACACGGGTCCGGGAAAGCACCTCCTCGTATTGGATGGGGGTTACGTAGAGCCCCTAACCCTGTCATCTCTTTTGATGATGCTTTCGATCTACAAGCGGATACTTGGATCGTATGGAAGCGTAGATGACTACGCCTGGCAAGGTTTGGGTGCGGGAAGGGACCATGGGTGCCAAGGGATGGTAATCTTGACTCCGTAGCTACGCGCTGGGATGTAAAGTCGCATCATGACGGTAATTTTTCGACTGACCAGTTGAAGAAATCAAGGCAAAGAAGAGATGGTACAGACGTCTTTTGACCTTGGTATCCTGGCCTTTTCGATATCGATAGAGAAGATAGTAATAGTAATAGTCAAGCAAATAAGCCCTGATTTGACAATGACTGTATCGTGACTACTGTATCTTCTCTTGCACAGTCGACGAAGTGCAAACACCAAAAGTAGCGATACATTCTGTTCCAGTATGTCCTTCCGGGTATCAAGAGCAAGCATGACTTTTTGAAATAAGGCATATAAAGTATGCAAATGCAAAGGTAGTCGTGTATCACCCAATATGATGTTTCAAATTTTGTCCTCGCATCCTAGGTGAAAGAGGTCGTTGGCCAGAAGGTGGATTCCAATCCGGCCGCTTCCTCGTCGGCCTCGAAGAGCCAGGCTCACCCGATTCATTCTTCATAGCCTGCACCACGGCCTCGATGACATGTCCCGTCTCCGCGCGCACCTCTGCATATTTAGCAGTAATCAAGGGCTCCTGAACGTGCAGTCTCAGGCTGCCCGTCAGGTCTAACTTCTTGCCCGCTTTCAGCAAGCCTGTGAGATCGGGTCTATCTTGAATAGCTTTGGCATTGACGAACATGCCATGGTCGTCGTATCCTCGCTCTTTCAATTCGTCTTTGATGGCATTGCGTAGACGGCGTCTTGCCCATGCTCGTACGCAGCTCGACTTGCTCAGATTGGCACCTGTGGTTGCATGCCACCAGAGTCCTTGTTTCTTGCGCTCTGCCTGTCTGCGCTTCTGCGTCTCGTGGAGGGGATGTGAAGCGTCGCTTACGACGTGGTTGAGGATGAAGTTTTTGTATTCTGGCGCATAGCTTACTATGAACGTCTTGGGCTTGTTCTTAGCGAGGATTGAGAAGGCGCTCCTCATGACTCTCTCTTTTTTTCTCTCTCTTTCTTCCTCGTTCTATCCGTCACGTTCGACGAAATATGCACAGTGACGTTTGTAAGTAGTAGAACACAAAAAAACGGTCACAAGGAAGATGGGTTGGCTGCTCGGGTGAGCGCCCAACGCTAGGCTCGATACGGGCAAGCGCAGGGCGTTTAGCGCCAAATGTCCAGGGCAGGCATCCCACAGTGACTGTGTCGGAATCCACACGAAGGCGAAGCGGGCTGTGTGTGGTGCAAACAACGGGTCCCGCCACTACATAAGAACTTGCGCCCTGCTTTCTCGAGTCCCCCGACTCCCAATCTCCACTTACAATCAACACACAAACAAGCTTCGACAACCGCCAGTATGCCGAAGAACAAGGGAAAGGTATGTTGGTTGTTATTCCTTTGGAGGGGCAAGGGCTCCCCACTACATGCGCACACAACGTCTATGATGCTGCCTGGCCTCACCTTCAGGCAGCGCCTCACCTCGCCCCATGGCGAAGTGCAAAGCGCCAGCACCACTTCCTAAATTTCCCACCAAGGCCCTCAAACAGCGCCAACCCACATGCTAACCACATTCCACAACAGGGAGGTAAAAACCGACGTAGGGGCAAGAACGAAAACGACAATGAAAAGCGCGAACTCGTCTTCAAAGAGGAGGGCCAAGAATACGCCCAAGTAGTAAAGATGCTCGGAAACGGCCGCCTGGAAGCCCAATGCTTCGACGGCGCCCGCCGCCTCGCCCATATCCGCGGCAAGCTGAGGAAGAAGGTCTGGATCAACCAGGGCGACATCATCTTGCTCTCGCTGCGCGACTACCAAGACGAAAAGGGCGATGTTATCATGAAGTACTCTGGTATGTCTGAATACCCTTCACTGACTCGGCCATTTTGCGTGTTCGAAGAGGACAAGATGAAGGAGTGAAGGGTCATTTTTGGCTAATGAATACGTTGTAGCCGACGAAGCCCGTTCATTAAAAGCATACGGCGAACTCCCCGAGAACGCAAAGATCAACGAGACAGATACCTACGGCGACCAGGGCGACGAGGGCATCGGTTTCGAATTCGACGAGGACCGTGATGATAGTGATTCGGATGAGGCTGAGGGTGGTGGCAAGAAGGAGATTGATATTGATGATATCTAAAGGAGAGAAGAGATCCGCCATGCTGTCTCGACTCTTTGCTTTGCGCTTTCCGCGGCTTCTGGCGTTTTTGCGGTAGCGAGGGTTGGGCTGCTCAAATGCTGCTTCTTGCGAGCGGGCGGATGAGAGAGAGAGAGAGATAGAGAGAGTGTGTGGTTATTCTAATCAAATCGACTGTGGTGACGGGAGGACTATTCAGTTCTTCAAGTTTCTTCTTCATATTCGACATATCCTCCATGCTCCGCGACTCGAATTGTCTATACATGGAAAGAATGATGATTGGCCCAAAATCAATCTAACATGCCAACCAAATCCACACATGTTCCAAATCTAACTAAACACCTGCAACTGCACATCCTCATACACACTCCGATTCAAAAACCGATGCGCCCTCCTCCCCACATCCGTACCCACGAGCCAACAAATCTCGCGCTCACTCATATTCGCCACCTCGAGTATATTCTCGCTCTGAAGCATCAGCGTCGTAACCGCATTTTCATTAATTCCCGGCAGCGCCCTCAGCATATCCTGACTCGTCTGGTTAAAACTGCGCATCTCATCGCCGCTGAGATGGGGATCGAGACCCAACTGGACGGCGCGCAGGGGATCCGGTTCATCTTGCTGTTTCTTCAACTCTGCAAAGATTTCTGCGGTTTGATAAGGGGACGAGGACCAGATGATGCGGAGGCGGGGGAAAGCGAGGGTGAGCATTACGAGTTTAGATTGGAGATCGGGGGTTGTTGCTGATGAGAAGGCAGAACTGGTGCTTGAGGCGGCGGGGGCGGAGAAATCGGTAAAGGGTTCGAGGGTGAAGGATTTGTTTTGGTCGAATTCGATGAGGAGCATGGGGTGTTTGTAGTGTTCGGTCATTGATTCGACTTGGTTGAAGAGACGGCCGTTTGTGAATGAGGCGATTAGGTCGCGGATGGATTTGCGCTCTACGCAGATTTGCGGGGTGAGGACGTAGTCGCCGACTGTGAGCATGCAGGGGACGATGACCATGGAGCGGCCATGGAGGAGGGAAGGAAGTGATGAGCGGAATTCTCGTACGTCGACGACTACGCGAGGGGGTTCAGCGGTGGCGGCGAGCCGGCCTCCTCCTGCTATCCTTGTGTTGATTGTGCGCAAAAAGGACTCCTCGGGCGCGAGATTGGCAGATGGGTTCTGGGTAAATGCCATGTTTGCGCGCTCTTTGATAAGCCGCGTGAAGGCGTCTTTTTCGCGACGAACAGCCGACAAGTAGCGTTGCTCTTCTACACTGCCGCCATAGTACATGAAGAATACTTTGACAGTTCGGTCCGTATGCGAGGACCGGTACACTTCGATGCGCCGGATGAAGGCCGCATCTGGCTCGTACATGATAACATATCTCGGTTTCGTTTCGTCGAGAACGTGCTCGTCTAGGTCCCCAGAGTAGGGATGTATGATGATTAATGAGTTCATGTCGAAGAGTTCGTAGTAGCTTTCCATGTTGTCTAAAGGATCAAGACCAACTTCCCCCGGTTTTTGTGCTGCTTCCACTTCTGTGGGCTCAAGTTCGGCCATGAGGCTGGCAATGTGCGCGTCACGATCTCCAGCTGTACGGACTGCGCCTGTGTCACCCCTTGAAGGACCAGCTGCTGCGTTGGCTCCTCCTCTGACGCGACGTCGCTTGTTAGGCGGAGGCTTGCCAGAAGTTGGACGTGCGCCACTCTGAGCATTCTTGTCTGTATTACTATTGATGGCTTTTTGGTTCTCTGAGAATAAAGCTGCACTGACTTTGCCAAAGTCGCGTTTCCAGGCCAGGTAGTTGCGCAGCTTGCGTCGCATCATGAACTTTGCTGATGGCTCATACTCGTCTTCATCTTCATCTCCAGAGCCCTCTGGTTTGACATACATGGTCTGTAAATATTCCCGTAACTGCGCTGCTGTACCCTGGTCGCCGCACATGATGAGAATCGACCCATTAGACGAATCCTGCGGTGTGGGATTCAAATATGCATCTTGCTCGATCTCTTGCAAAATTTCAGCTAGCTGCGTCCATTTGGGAAACTCTTCTAAGACAGGTTCCAGTGACTCGGGTACTGCATTTGTGGCGTTGGCTAGCTCGGCGTTGGATACCTTGCCCGTGTACACCCTCCGCTTGGCCGTTGTGAAAATGGTATCAGCGGCATCTAGAAACAACCAGGGGGACTGGTTCTGCTTCGTTGACCCTGGTGGTGGTTGGGAAGCCGCCAAGACGGTATCGAGATACTTATTGAAGTTTACAGCATCGTAGGTGAGGAGCGCATGCAGAATGGTCCGTAATAGGGACAAGTCACGAACAACCTGTCGCGTCTTGAAAGTGGTCCGATGCCAAACAGGATCCAACTGCCGTCGAATGATCTGGTCAAAGTTCTTATGCAATGCACTGTCCACTGTCCAGTCCTCAACTTCCAACCCTGGGTTGCCCTTCTTGAGCTCGCTGATGCTGGCTTCCACACATGCCAAGACGGCATTCTGTATATCCTGCATTGCTTCCGTCAT